TATTAATGCTCTAACCTGTAACTAAACTGAAAGCATGTGTGGTCATAGATCTATAACCAGTTATTCAAAGAACTAATTTACCAAGCGGTAGGCTACTTTGAAATAATAATAATAAAGATAATAAGCTGAATGTATGGAGGCTTTACCTCTGATATGATGAAATAAGCTTGTAAGACACTATTAATTATAATCAAAGTGCCATGTTCATTGTCATTCCAAACAAAACTAGGACCGATCAATAAATCACTTTAAACATATTCTCATGTGATCAGTCTTTGTGTTTGTTTGACCCATCCATTCTGCAGCAGAGGGGTTTACATTGGACTTTTACTTGAAAGCCAGTGTGTCTCACAGACGGTAAAGGGTCCCTTTGTGCATCGTATCAGATCCCGAGGTCCTGGGAATGACACCGGACTTTGTTCCAGTGAGAAGTTGTGTCCTGCTCTGGTGCTTGCACGTGCCTGTGTTGTTGCAGAGAGTGGAGTTTCTTTACCTTAGAGGCAAAGCAGCATGGCATCAACCATACAGGCACAACCAAACATGCTTGGCAACACCTGTCTCAACAAATCTTTCCAATGAGAGTCTTCAGTGCTGTTCTTAGCTCTTCTTTCAATGTAGAAACAATCTGCAGTTCTGATACAAACTGATGCCATTGCAGCAGCTACGCTAACCACTTTAGGAGCAACCATAATTGTTCTGAACAAACAGTCGCCTCTCTGTGTCGTCACACACACCAAAGTCACGCCCTTCGCTGCAAGTAGCTCCACACAGGACGCTGATTGGTCCGGCCACTTGCTGGCTGGACACAAACTTGAAGCCTGAAAAGCTGAATATTATGATATAATAATATAATGATCCAGTGAACCCTTGAATCAAAAGAAAAATGATAACCAGCAATAAACAAAATGTTAGTCACCCTGATACTCTTCGTCTGTTGGAGTCATTTCAGTACTGTACGAATGGTTAGGACTGGACTGCTGTCCTTTATGAGAACCGTTTATTTTCCAGAGTATGTTGCACATACAAGGAATGAGACTGTAGTAAAGTATTTCTAACTCACTTAGACCAAATTATTGTGAATTTACACGGTTCAAATTTGACGTCTTCCTATGTATATCTAGTTAATGATGCTGTGCAGTTCAATTGAGGATGTTTTTTAAAAGGTCCAAAACATATGTAGGAAATGATTTTAAGGGATCACTTCAAAGGTTTACGCCAATTCAATTGAAGATTTCAAACTAATCCGTCTGATGTGGTGAGGCCAGTTATTCTCCAAGATGTCAGTCGAGAAGGTGTTGTTAGTGCTTCCCAGAGTACAGTCAGGCACTGCCACCAAGTGGTACAGCTCTATAGCATCACACACAGGATCCATCTGTCCACACCACACACCACACACACACACACATACACACACACACACACACACATTTTCTGAGGTATTTCTCTTGTTCAGGGTCTTGAGGTCTGCAGCAAATTACTGTGGATCAGAGTGTGGGATGTCTTGTTCAGTAAAAATAAATGAGAAGCTAATAAAAGCATAGGTACTTAAAGCTGAACAATATTGGATATATCAGCAATGAATCACATGACCATGTGTATAAATGTGCATAATGTGAAAGGTGTTGCTTGTAGTGGTGAACCCACAGATGATTGCTGAAGTTCCCCTCAGTTCTACGTGGCTTTTTAGTTTGTTTAGTACTCTGATACACACACACACACACACACACACACACACACACACACACACACACATAAAAGGCGTGTGAGGCCATTCATGCCACAGGCTCTGAAAGCTGGAGCTGAGGCTTAAACTTCAAAATAAAAGTTAATGTTGTTTCTGATCATTATCCTATTCTTCTGATTTCCAACTAAATCTTCTTAATCAGCAGCAGTTAGGGGTTCAGTATCCTGCTCGAGGACACTTTGACACTCCTTCTGGAGGAGTCGCGGATCCAACCAGGAACCATCTGATTGCAGTGCCACCCCATCAGATGACCATATCAACAGTTCTATCAACTCAGATCTTCTCTAAACTGGACCGTTGTGGAGACAATGTTCAGAGAGACTTGAAAAATGAAATGATGAAGACAATACTAGAATATTTCTTGCCTTGCTGGTACCTCTACGAGTCAGGTGGTCCAGGTAACCTTCTGCAAACAGTACCAGAGTTCTGTGTTCCTTCTGAGCAGTTTAAAGAGTTTGCAGGAGAATTTATTGATGCTAGCAGTGAGAATTTGCAGATCAGCAGTAGGTGTAGTTACCCCAAGAGTCCTGTGAGTCTTAGCAGAACTCAGTATGGTTTTATCAACAGTGATGGAGGAGTCCAACAGATGGCTGGATCAGTGGCAGTAGTAGTAGTAGTAGTAGTAGTAGTGGTAGTAGTAGTGGTAGTAGTAGTACCATGGGCCCCAGAGCACGCTGTGCATGTGTGTGCGTGCGTGCGTGCGTGCGTGCGTGCGTGCGTGAGTGTGTGCGTGCGTGTGTGGGTGTGTGTGAGAAAGACAAAGAGAGAGCGAGAGAGGGAGGGGCAAATAAGGTTGGATTACAGTATTAAAATAAATAATACAAAAGAAAAAGAAAAAAAACATTTTGTTTTCACGGTTCACTAATATTTTGTCCAGTTTTTGGAGGACGCAAAAGGGGTTGTTCCAGCTTCATATTGGTTCCAACAATGGAGGACAAAAATCTCTCAATCTGACTCCACCTGTATTGTCCGTGTGTGTGTGACACGCGTTAAATGATATGATGCACGTATGTTACACAGTTAACTTACTGTAATTTACTTCTCTATTTTAGATTGGTTATTGCTGTTAACTTTTATTCTTGTTAGATTTGTGCGTCTGTTTTATCAACATTTATAAACAAGATGTCCACGCTAAAGAGAACTGTGAACTTTAACTCAACTTCTCTTCTTCTCATTAATTCTCTCTGTTTCAATTTAAACTCATCCTGTGAGTTTAAATTGGAGGCCACTGGAGAAGCCTCTGAACCAGCAATTACATGAGACATGTTCTGCATTGAGATCATGTGAACTATTACCAGTTTAGAGGTGCCTAAAACATTTACATTTTTTCTATATAATCTTTATTTGATCATGTGACAAAACAATACGACGGTATGTGTGTGTGTTAGTGTGTGTGTGTGCTTTATAACTGCAGCCTCCCATAGTATGCAGTGGGGTGTGTTGTAACTACCTTACTGCACTGAACCCTGGTCTCTTTAGCCTGAATAGAAAAAGCAGCACTGAGGTTGTGTAACTGAGTCCTTATCCAGCCAGTGATACTCATATGACAGATGGGAAGTGATTTTGTCAGACTCTACTGAGACAGCTCGACACATCATCAGTATGGCAAAAGCATGAGCCAGTGAATGAAGTTATTCTTTATGCTTGAAGGCCAGAAGCACAACCTGTGATGGAGATGGAGAGTTCACATATTTACATATTCACATCATACTGTACATCCAGCTTCACCTACAGCTATGAGCTGGTGTCAGATCAAAGTAGCTGTATAAGTGATTAGAGGCATTATACTAGCTCTGCAGCAGTGGGATTTCCTCAGTGTGATGATGCTCGAGTCACGTAGCATCTTGCATGTGAGGATCCTCACGTACGCCCAGAGATGCCTGTCAGGGATTTTTAGGGCCTCTGCGCTGTCTCACAGGCAACAAGCCCTTCCTTTGTAATTTAGAATGCAGATGAAAACACACAGGCAGAAGTCAAAGCAACTACTGCAGTCTGTTCATTTAAAGTCTTCCATGTCAGCTTGTGAAATAAATCATAGCATGATTCTGGGTGATTGTTAAGGATTTCAGTATTAGAAATATTATAAGTAGGATTAAATAATACCCCTAGTGGTGAGTAGAAGTGTCACAATAATAATGTCCAAATAGATTAAAAAGTCACAAAATATTTACTTATGGAATGTATTATGTTTACAATATTCTTACTTGTAGAGGATATTAAGTTACATTATTTTACTCATTGAATGTATTAAACCATAGAAGTATAGTCACTAAAGGTATTAAAACACTCTATCAATAGTTTTGAGGGTCAGAAAGGGATCATTTTGAGTGAGTCTTTACAGAGATGCAGCAGAGAACAGAGGGATGGACAACTGACCACCAGGACCTGAGGAGGAGTCCGGACGACTTCAACCAAACACTGAGATGATAACTGCCCCAAGCCAGGAGGGGCTATTGAATTTCGGCCAATCACAGAGGCTGATACTGGACATTTAAACTTTCGGACAGAGACTTTTAAATATAGGCTTAGTTCCAGAGGGTTTTGGCCAGAGTTCGCGCCATTACCACTCTGGGTAGTTTACCAGCTGGGCTGGGCTATTTAGTGGGCCTTGTGAGAACTCTGCCCTGGGGACATATTGATATTGATAGAGTAATTCAGTTTGCAACTGTTCTAGCTTCTCTTGTTTATTAAATACTTTTTGATTGTTAACCGGATCCAGTTCATTTTTGGTGCGACTGGAAAGTCCAGCGGTCTGGGTCTCCCCTGAAAACATCTAACCCTAACATGATGTAACAGTACAAAACGTCTCCAGCTGGGAACCCTCACCTCAAAAGGCAACAACTGACAACATCTGATCATTAAATGTAGTTTTTTTTTTCTAGAAGTGAATAAGACAAAAACCTCCGATGTATTTGTACCGAACTGAGCTGCTCTTTAACCATACTTTCTGTAATCGCCCCCAATGTTTGTATCGGGGTAATGTGAAACATGGATTTGGTTTGGTTTTGGTCATGGAGGTGGTTACTGGAACAGCAGACCTAAATCTGAGGACCTGGTTCAGTAATATGTGACTCAATAAGAAGACGTCCGTAGAGCTGTGTAGCAGGATGTTTGATCAACCTGTGAACCGTAAGACAGCACTGAGGGTTAACAAACACCCATAGTTCAGCATCACCGGAGTCAACACGTTATTCCTGTTGCGAGCTGAGCTCTGATTGGACAATCTCCGCTGAGGTCCCGCCCCTGTAGAGTCTCCATCTGTGTCCTTTTTACGACAGCAGCTTCCTGCATCTCTCCGCTGTTTCCTAACGCTGCACGACCAACAAGCTGGTGAGTTTGATTTTCTCCATCCAATCATTTCAAACATTCGCTCAGCAGATGACAGCTCTGCTCGTATTTTCTCATATGGAGCTCATTAGTCCAGCACGTTACAGTTGTTTTAAGGTTTCCACAATAGAGGATAAATACAAATGAAGGGTTTTCCTGGAGTTTTCTGGAGGCCATTTGTGTTTGGGAACTCCCAGTAAAAGTCCTTCAGCTGGGTGGCAAGGACGCGGAAGTGTCGTCACGAGAAGCTACTACATTCTATTAACGTTACTACTGTATTAATACTAATATTTATACTTTACTATAAAACACAAGCCGGCAAATACCGTCGGAAAAATTGGTAAGAATTGCTCAAAGCCAGCAGCAGTCCTGTATGTGTGTATCTGTAATGTGACCGCTAGCTTCACTCTATTCACTTTAAAGTATCCTCCTGAGATACTAATACCAAGTACTAGTGGTAATACAAGGAAATACTCCACTTCATGCATTCACGAGCCTACTTCAATGAAAGTAGCTTCTATCAGCAAACACTACTCATCTGAACTGAGACTGTGTCGCAGCTAGTTTAGATAGATAGGGGGTTCAAACCTGGGCGCCGGGCCCTTCAAAGGGTCGTGATGTGATTCATGAAGAGGAAAGTTTATATTCACTAAACTAACACTGAATTATCTAACAACCTTCATCCTCCAACAATAACTGAAACGAAGCCATGTGAGGAAGTGCTTTTCCTTACTGTATTTCTGTTACGACTGTGATGATCATCAGTATTTTATTCAGATATGTTTGTGGGGTTCTGCTCTTCTGTTTTGGTTTTCATCATTAAACATATAGAGGGTGAAATACATAAATATATACTCGTGAATAAACCAGAGTGTACACTAAAATAACAACGCTATTATATTTAGGGGAGAAAGATAAAGAAAGATACTATGTAAATGAATAAATAGAAGTATTTCTCTCACTAGAATTGAACTCGTCATGGTGAATAGCTCGTAGACCTGACAGAGAAACTTTGGGACACGACAAAAGTTTTTAAAGAAAGAAAGAATGCGTCCTGGGCCTCTCTGAATACTTCCTTCTCAGATGTGGAGGAAATGGTGTCGACATGTTGGGGTTGGGTTTAGTAAGACTGCACAATCTCCTTCTGTTTTCGTTCGACTGACTTCTGGAGTGATTAAGAAATAAGTCAACATTAATATCTCTCTTCCCTCCTGGTCTCCATCCCAGTCACCATGACTCACGCGTATCCCTTCCTGAGCGCTGAGCAGAAGAAGGAGCTCAGCGGTATCGCTCAGAAGATCGTAGCTGCTGGAAAAGGCATCCTGGCAGCTGATGAGTCCACAGGTACGACTGCAGCGACGGATGACTCGGCATCCTGTTAGCACACAGACCCCCCCCACAGTAACACACCACTCAACAGTCTGCATGTCTCTCTGCTGGTGTGATATTAAAGACAGTAGGATGTTTTTGAAATATACAACTGCTAATAATACTGAAGTGCATACAATGTATTCTGTCCTCTATTTCTCTCCACACTAACAGACACCTTATAGAACCTGATACCTGATACATCAGCATGCTCATCAGTTGACTAGAGAGCACTGACTGTTTATTTTATAACAATGTCCTACTACATATCTTATGTCTCCATGATCCCCCCCCTCCTGGGTCCCGATATCATTCACGCTCACTTACCAAAATGTAAGTTGAGAGTGTCCGGCCTCCCTGACTGCTAAATGGCCATGTGTTTTAAACTCCTCCAGGCAGCATGGCCAAGCGCTTCCAGGGCATCAATGCTGAGAACACGGAGGAGAACAGGAGGCTCTACCGCCAGCTCCTCTTCACCGCCGACAACCGGGTCAACCCCTGCATCGGCGGTGTCATCTTCTTCCACGAGACGCTCTATCAGAAGACGGACGACGGCAAGCTCTTCCCCCAGCTGGTCAAAGAGAAGGGCATGGTGGTGGGCATCAAGGTGGACAAGGGTGTGGTTCCCCTCGCTGGCACCAATGGAGAGACCACCACTCAAGGTACAGAGAACCAAACAGAGCTGTGGTTCTGGAACAAAAGCTTGCGTAGTACTGCTGGGCGTCAGCATGTGAAGATGACCATCAACATGAGCATGAAGTCATGTATGACACACACAGAAGGGCGTATACAGCTCAGTGCTTAGTTTCTGCAAAATAGCTCAACATTAGAACAAGTGAGCAGATTGAATCAATCTCATGTCTGAGTTTATCAAGCTGTTTATTTTATTGGATCAAAAATCAGTAATAAGCAAGGTGCAAAGAGCTGATCTTTATACAACACAACAAAATCAATAACAACAAAATGATATTAATAATATTATCAATAAATAGTTCAAATGACCTCATATGATATAAATAGAAATTATAGGCAACATCCCATTCACCCTAAGCCACACAGAAGATACTAATGAACAGTAGGATTCTGTAAGACTTCATGCATTTGTCATTTGCGATACAATAACTAGAGAGTGCTCTGGAGAGGACCTGCTGCTGTGCAGTGATGGAGCTGAACTGTGGAGTGTTCCTCTGTGTCTCTGTCAGGTCTGGACGGGCTCTACGAGCGCTGTGCTCAGTACAAGAAGGACGGCGCTGACTTTGCCAAGTGGCGATGTGTGTTGAAGATCACCTCCACCACCCCGTCCCAGCAGGCCATCATGGAGAACGCCAACGTGCTGGCCCGCTACGCCAGCATCTGCCAGATGGTGAGAGACTCAGACAGGACACACGTTTACACTCAGACGTACGCTTCTGTCAGTGCAGGGATGCAACACAAGCAGCCGTTACACAACTCGGTACACAGTTGGCCCATCAGGCTCCTGACAGTTGGTACACAAGTCACCAGCCCAGGACAGGAAGTGCTATTGTTTCTGTCGTCATGACGCTGGTTGTTCTGTTCTCTGCCCCTCCCCCCTCAGCATGGCATCGTGCCCATCGTGGAGCCTGAGATTCTTCCAGACGGTGACCACGATCTGCAGCGCTGCCAGTATGTGACTGAGAAGGTGGGTGATGGTGGTCAGCTGGAGCAGATGGGTAACTGGTCTGATATATTAGTCTGTCATAGAGGTATAGTGCAGGAACATGTCAGCATCACCCTCAATTTGGCATTTTCTCAGAAAATAAAGAGAGCCACAATCTGCTAACGTGGTGCATATTTTCACTTTGATTTGAGTTGTTTTGATCGTGTCTGATCATGTCATGTCTTCTGCTTCTTCTGTGGCAGCATGAACCTACTGAAGGTAGAGAGACAGTCATATCTATTTACCAATATTCATGGAAATCTCTCCAATAGCTGCTATTTGATGTGTCATGGAGTCTCTAGAGGGGATCACCAAAGTCAGTCAGGGCACTTTTACTGGCCAACAGGGAGAGCGTTTGAATGGAACTCTGGTGAGGTTTGTTCAGGCTGTAGTTCACATGGACACAGGTAAGGACAGGTCAACATAGGACAGAGGACTGACTGGATGAGGACAGACAGAATATGCGGACTAAAGTTCATTGGAGATGAACTGGAGGAGAAGGCTTGGTGTGCTCAGTAGATCAGTGCAGAGTCAAAGAAAAGAAACTTGTGAACCTTGTGACACCCAACCAGACTGCATATGAAACGATGCCGATTGTGACTCAAGTAGATCAGCTGCTATCAGATACCATTATGTTCATAAATAACAATTCAGCACATTTATATCTATGCATTTATTTATGACATTTTGTCTTACAAAGTTAGGAAATCCTTTTTTTAGTCTCGTCTGATGTTGCCTTACACAGTCTCTTCACACAGTGAGACATCCAGCTTATTGATTCAACACTGGTGTCTGATCTCTACACAGCAGTGGCCAATACACAAAGTCCCGACTTCAGACTAGCCAAACGGACTAAAGCACCCTACTCATCCTCTGGGGAGCACGAATATCTGTACTATATTTAATAGCAATCCATCCGACGCTTGTTGAGATATTTCTGTTGTCTCTTCAGCCACGCGGCTAAATCTGCTTGGGTATAACATAAATACAACATCCTAGAAACAGTACTGTTAGTCAACAGTTAGTGTGTGTGTGTGTGTGTGTGTGTGTGTGTGTGTGTGTGTGTGTGTGAGTGAGAGAGACACCGTCCTGCTGTCACATCTCTGACTGTGTTTATGAACTGTGTCAGGTGTTGGCAGCGGTCTACAAAGCCCTGTCTGACCACCACGTCTATCTGGAGGGCACGCTGCTCAAACCCAACATGGTGACTGCCGGCCACTCCTGCCCTAAGAAGTACGTCCCTCAGGAGATCGCCATGGCGACTGTCACCGCCCTGCGCCGCACTGTGCCCCCCGCGGTGCCAGGTGAGATGGACACGTAGCTATCTGCACACATGCTTATCACAAGTATACCTGGTTTCTACCTGAGCTGTGCATGATCACTGTCCTGTGCATTCTCCTCCCCAGGTGTGACCTTCCTGTCAGGCGGTCAGAGTGAGGCAGAGGCCACCATCAACCTGAACGCCATCAATCAGTGCCCCCTGCACAAGCCCTGGGCCCTCACCTTCTCCTTCGGCCGGGCCCTGCAGGCCTCCGCGCTGAAGGCTTGGGGAGGCAAGAAGGAGAACGGCAAGGCCTGCCAGGAGGAGTACGTCAAGAGAGCCCTGGTGAGGAGGAGGAGGAGGAGGAGGAGGAGGAAACAGAGTAGAGAGACCCAGGTGTGGTTTAGGGGATGGCGGATTCAAACCCATGTTTGAAGGAATCCTTCTGCTTTGTGTTTCTCCACAGAATAATAGCAAGGCAGCTCTGGGGAAGTACGAGTCCTCTGGAGAGAAGGGAGCAGCTCAGGAGTCTCTGTTTGTGGCCGACCACGCCTACTGAAGTCAGCCAGGCACTTCATCTCCACTCTACCCAGTCATTCCACACCTTTCCACCACATCCTCAGTCACACAGATTAACCATTCAGTATCATCCCATTAGTGATGAGAGCCCAATGAGTTCCTAGATAGAAAATCATTAGAATACTACAATACCCAAAAGCCCAGTACGGATACTTTAGCTCTATCCTCCCTTTGAGCTTGACTTTGCACTTGTAACGTCGGTGTTGGGCCCAATCCTAATCTCCACACTCTCAGACCTTGAGGTGTGTTCCCGGTAGGTCTGTGAGGGTTGAAGGCTGCCCAATGTTTGGCTCTCGAGCAGACATTATTTTCTGCATCCCTGCTTACGGGGGGGAACTAAATTCACTGAGAGCATTTCACTCAGAGGTACCTACACAGAATATATATATAAAGTCTTATACCCACAACTGTATGTAACATGATCTCCGTCGCTGCAAAGTCTTGTCCCATTCCTCTTTATAACATTTTGAGCCCTTGAAGCCTCTCACCAGGTGACATCAGTTAAGTCTGTGGGGGGGGGGGGGGTCAGGGTTTAGGACTAGGCCCTACTGTACTGCCTGACTTAGTGTGCTGTGACACTTTATTTTGTGTGTGTGCACTTAAACCCCACAGAGAGACAGAGTTGTCCTCAATTTGTGAATTTGTCTTTCGTACATGTGCCTTCATTATTCTACTGAACTGCTGGAGGACACTCTGTAGAGGACGGTGTAATGAATATACAGTATTAGTGTATACACTGGAAAGACATTCAAATTAAAATATTCCATAACTAATGGTGTCCTGTCACTTTGTGTACATGTATTTATCCACAGTGGAACGAGACAGTGCAGCTCTACCCTGAACCTTCTTTGCTGGACATTTAATAGATTTTCAGTTCAGCATCCATATCACACACACTGCTGAGGGAAGAATTCAGAAACACCACTGGAACAATATACCTCGTGTGTCCGGTCAACTATCGACAAAAGCACTTTATCAATCTCGCCCCTAGGATAATTCATGTCTTTTTACAACCAACTGCAGTGACGTTTCAAATAAATCCTCTTCCAGTGACTGAACAGTTCACGTCACACCTGCCGACGGTACTCACAATATTCTCCTGGCAGCTACTGCACGCTATATCAAATACAATAGCAGTGAGTTGCTATAGCAACTATGCATTGTGGTGGTTGATTTTCTTTGAACAGACTGGTCACAGATGAGGTTGGAGTCGAAGATCAATTTTTCAGAATTCCTTATTGGACATGAATCACGGGAAGAAGGCACAGTTTGCTGGACTGCAGAATTTCTTCAACTCTCTGAGGAAACCGTAAGGCCTTTATACCCTCCCGTCACATGGGAGTGGGGGGGTGGAACATACAGGGGTGTCAAGCTTATGTCCATACATGGACGTTTAAACTTAGCTCCGAACCTGGAGGTCAGATATTTATCCTTCCAGGGAAAAATGCAGAGCACAAACATGCCAGACATAAGTCCATATATTGAGATGGTCAGAACACAGACATGCAGGACATAGGTCCCTATAGATAAGAGCTGACCACACCTGTTCAACCAGTGTGTGTCCGGTCACACACAGCTCATCTGTGAATAGTGTGTGCGTGTGTAGTTTTACAACAAAGTGGAGATATATACTAATAGGTTGTGTTGCAACTGCTCATAAGCGGCTATATTATTACATACAATGTTATCAATCCTAACATTATATACAGGAGATATAAAATATCTCCAGTCTCCTTTCACATTATGTGAATTGCCGATTCAATTTATATCTGCAGTCAAAAAGGAACTGAAGCAGGTGTGTGTGTGACATATAATCACAGTAACATTACTGTGATCGGCGGTTCGATCCCCGGCTCCACTCATCCATGTTGATGTGTCCTTGGGCAAGACACTCAACCTCAAGTTGCTCCTGTAGCTGTGCCTACTGTGTGTGAATGGTGTATGAATGTTAGTTACTCCTGATGGGCAGGTGGCACCTTGCATGGTAGCTCCTGTCAGAGTATGAATGGATGTGAATGGGTGAATAATGACATGCAGCGCTAAAGAGCTTTGAGTGGTCGAGAGACATTTTTTGAGCTGTAGAAATCTGTCCTAACACCTCAGAATTTAATCAGGCTTATTTTCAGCTTCATACTTTTGACGTATTTTGGTTTTGAACATGTTTCGTGCTTATTGCTCAAAAAACACTTTGGCTTTAGTACATGTCTATTTGAGCCTCCTGAAAAAAAGCCCAGTCTGCTCCGATTGGCTTGTGAGTTAAATACGGTGCACCTTTGTAAAGGTTGTTCTCACGCTGTAGGAGACATATTCTGAAGAGCTGCACATGACAGAGGAAAGGCCAACGTGTTCAATCACGTTTACTGATCCAGGAAGCCAAATAAAAGAACCGACTGGGACCCTGCACGAGGAAGCAGGACTTGGGGTTAGCTAACTCTGGGTCTTTAGTCCTGCAATAGAGGTTCACTTCTTACCAGGGGAGATCACCATGGTTACTCAATGAACTGAACTCTGAAGCTGGTATACAGATCAACTCAAATAAAAACTACACCTACTGACCAATCAAAGCAGAGTATGTGGCTCATTAGATATTGCACAGATAAATTAAAGTCATAATCCAGACTAAAGTAACAGTTTAAAGTGACGGATACAGATTTACACGTCAGTGATTTCTTGCTGTCCTTCATGCATTTGTCAGTTTAAACTGTCACTTTCATCAATCAGCTGATATCCTAGTTCTCTTTGTTTGTGAAATATCCCGCTCTGCTGACGGCAGACTTGTGCTGCTTTGTGATTGGTCAGATGCTGCAAACATTGCCCCTTTTATGCTAACACGCAGACAGCCAGATTGAGAAACACTGGTTGATTTACTGAGTTGATCACCAGCTTCGTAGGTCTGTTTAGAGGGATCTGGTTGTTCGGGTTAGTTAAGCCAGATAACCGAGATATAACCTGGCTATGTTGAACTGGCTTCGCAGCACTGGGCCTGGATTGTCATATTTCAGTTTGTGGGTCGGCAGCCACTCCAGATACACAACTGTACGGGAGTCTTTCATCATATGTCCCCTTTAAATGTCTGTCAAACCAGGTCTGCAAGTTCAAGTCAAACCTCCGATGCAGTGACCTCTAGATGGATAATTACTTTATTATCTCGTGACATGTAGGTGATTTCTACAAACACACTGCAGCTTAGAAACAGCAGCAGGGTTTAACTGGGTTTTATTCCACAACACGTTTGAACAGTTTAAACCTTAAAGGGCCAGTGTGTAAGTTTCTGTGAATCAATCAGCAGAAACAGAAATATAATATTACTATCTATGCTTTCATTAGTGTATAATGATCTGAAACTAACAATTGTGTTTTCGTTATCTTAGAATGAGCCCTTCATATCTAAATAGGGACTCTTTACAGAGTCCACCATGTTACACCACCATGTCTCTAGTAGCACAGAATGGACTCTAGAGAGAGACTTTCACGCTGTTGCGTTACCTGAAGGCCACCGTAGTGAGATTGGCTGTGAACTGCAGCCTCACCACTAGATCCTACATAGTGTCATTTTAAACCTGCAGCTAATAGAGGCTGACGGAGAAACCGCTCCTTTTAGTTTAAGCACACATCACATCCAAACAGTGGACCCCCTTAGTTCTTCTGACTCGGTACGGTCCAGCCACTGGAAGACAACAGAGCTGCTGCATAGAAACAACCAGTGAGTGTATGTCAGGTAGGTGTTTTTATTTTAAAATCTGGTTTCTGTTAATGAGGCCTCCATGTGTAAGCAGAGCAAAGCGCATCTCCTACCAGTAACGTACAGCTGAAGTGCTGAGCTTTCATCAAAACATCCACATCATCACACTAACAGAGGACCTTCCCATTTCACCTGAGGGGGATTCAGAACATTAAAGTCTTTATATTGTGGGCTGTTTCTGTCCTTAGCAGATAAACAGGAAGTGGGCGGGGCTGGGGGGTTGTGTTGATGGATGACATGGTGACCCTTCCCTCCAGTCTGCGGCTGTCGTCAGACCCTGAAGAGGACGTCCTCCTCACATGTTGGTGCTCATCCTGGTCTGGCTGTTGGCTGGTGTTAGCTCCCCCTGGCTGCCTTCTCTGGGTGGAGACTGAGAAGAGGACACAACATGAGTGAGGCACCGTGTGAGAAACAAAATAACCTTCACTTCTTGGATTCTGTGTACAAATGATAGCATGTGGAGAAGACCGGCAGCCTGTGTTCTAATATATGTAAATGAGTCCAACTGGTCCCGTTATTTCTTCTACTGGTTTATCGAATCATTGCAACATGGAGGGGTATTCATAGAGAACCATTCGAGACCTTTCTTACTAGGTTTAAACAAGTCAACACTAAGGCGTCGTCATGTCCAAATACATGCAAATACACCAGAGTGGACTTCAATGCGTCTGAATGTCTGTGAGGTATACTACAGTGTAATATCTCAGTATTGATGCAGTGAGTCATGTAATGCAACATACATGTGACCACCCAGGACCTGCAGACTCCGTGTGAGCATTCTAACATGACAGTTAACCCAGTACTATGGCAGGCTGGTTTTATTAACAGCTTCATATTTAGCTCCTGCTAAGCTGAGTGCATCAGAAGACACATGTTTCCTACCTTGACGTGGATCTGGTTGCGCAGCACAGCAGCTCGGAGGATCATGGCTTTGGCTCGTCTCTGGAACTCTTTGCCCATGTGAATAGACTTCTCAAATGTGGTGCTCCTCTGGTCCACATCCCTCGCATACAGGATCTATCAACAAGTCAGAGCCTCCGTTCAGAATGTTCCAAATGACATTACTCGCTTCAACATTTTCTTGTGTGTGTGCGTGTGTTTCACCTTGCTGTGGGAGTCGATGCGAGCGTTGATGAGCCCCTCCAGTATGAGCTGGGTGAGCTCGTCCTCCAGAGCTGCTACTGTGGTGTTGAAGGCCTGAGCCATCTTAGTCATGTCTGCTGACACGTAGGGGCTGAAATACTGAACACATGCACACACAACTGTCAGACATGCCACGATCAGACACCAGTTACTTTGTTACCTTGGGATTTAAAGGCTCTCCATTCGACATTCGGAGCATGAATATCAAACAACTATCATCTCTGTGAAGATCTAGAGGAGGAATGTCTCCCTGGCCACAGGACCAAGTCTCTCTCCCTCAGTGTGTTCTCTGTGCTCTGTCTACATTGCCTTATAGTGCATGTTAGTGCATGTGAGTGCATGTGAACGTGCCCCACTGGTTAGCTCACAGCTGCCGCTCTGCAGTGCTCTCATACAGCCGTTACAGATTGAGTGTAAGAGGACGTTGGTGCCAAATTTAAACCAAAAACAACCCTCCACATGTTCCTGAGATATGGACAGACAACATCACGCCTGAATGCATAAACAGCGTAAACTCACCTGGATGAGGGCTCTGTTCCTGATCTGGCTGTACAGCGTCTTGACGTGTGGGGCCAGGTACATGTCCAACAGCAGGTTATCCTAGAGGACACACCACAGCACATACACTGTAAATCATCACACAATATGTTGCCATAGAACCTCAGCACAGTCTCAAACTGATGCTGTTTCAGTGACAGTTCGTCACCTTCATTTCATCCAGCAGCTTGAGACAGGACGCGTACTTGGACTCGTAGAACTTGAAGATGATGTCACGGATCTGAGGTTCCAACTCTAGAAATAACTTAAAGGAGCTTAGGACATAAAAAAAAAAAAAAAAAAAAAAAAAAAAATATGAGTATTACCATCGCCTGCTAGTCATTAAATGTA